ATAGACCAAAAAGAGAATATAAAGATATATATATATATATATATATATATATATATATATAAAAATAAAATAAAATATTGCATAAAATGATGACAAGGTATTAGTCATAATTGATGTATCATAATGGTGTTTAAGTTGAGGTGGCATTAATCCCCGGTTGATTTCTGAGCCTGGACTTGATACAGGGAGCTTCCTACTTTTGCAGAGATATGATAGGTGTTATTGTTCGGAGGCAGCAAGGTATGCCGAGCTGATTGAGTGGAGTGGATGTTTAATTAAGTCGATGAGTGCTTTAACTGAAGGCATAAATGGCATGCCTGTGAATATGATCCATCATATTCCATTTGAGTTTTATGTAGATGAACACATTATTTTAATGGCCTGCCGTTTTACAGCACTGGAGGGGTTTCTGGGAGAGAGCGAGAGGGGAGGGGGTGGTGAGGGAGGGTCGCCCCGTTACATTTCTACAGCAGCCAGATGGCTTTTCTTGGAAGAGAATTAAAAGATGTCTCTAATTCACAGCGTTGCCTCCTGGGTAAATTAATATTGCAAGGCCAAATCGCTTCTGTTTTGGTAGAATCCGAGACAGAAAGAGAGAGAATAAAAAATTATTTTGTCTAGATAAGCAGGAGATTCCACAAGCAGATTGTTGCTCGGGTAAACGGATCCATATTTGAGACACTAGGCGGCAGCTCTTGAAGAGCGGCCTGTGTTAATTGACTGCTTGGGAAAGCAAAAACTATGATGGCTTATTAGTCATGAACAGGGATGAACAGAGAGAGCGAGAGAGAGAGAAAAGAGAGAGAGGTGCCTGCAATCATTATCAGCATCTATCTATCTATCATTTCTCTCTCTGTCTGTCTGTCTGTCTGTCTGTCTATCTCAACTTTTAAAACATATTGTCTGTGGACCATTCACAGGCCGTCTGATGCATATTGCACACAAAAAGGGGAACAAATGGGCTGAAATCACAAGCTTCAATCTGATTGGCCATCTTAACATAATTTCAGGGTCCCCATTGGTTGCGAGGAACTGGGTTAATACAAACAGCACTTCTAAAGATTAAGTAGTCACTAGAAATCACAAATTTATGTAGCGAAATGTGGATTTGTGGCTGTGGATCAAAAGGAGTCTTCCTGTGTAGATGTGTGGTCACATTTACTACTGTTTGCAAATATTTGCTGGCAAAATTGAGTCATTTTCATAGGAATCCAGGAATTCCGCGTGAGGGTGAAACATACTGTAGCTTTCACAGCGGGTTGCTTATCGGGATTCATTATTCTGACCAACAGAAATCTGTTTGGTTTGAATGTATCTTCTGTGTGAGTTGTGCTTCATACATCGCAACATGATTCAAAATAGACAATGGACCTTTCTTTGCCCACAAAATTTTGCTGAAATTTTGCGAATTCGTCCGAATGTTGTGCCCAATTCTGACCCCTGACAGATTATTAACCCCCTAGTATTGGTAGGTTTAGGGTTAGGTGTGGGGGAGGGGTTAGGATTAGGGGTGGGGTTAGGATTAGGCAATCAGATAGCGATTTCAATGAGAGGGGTAATCATTTTGCAGGGGGTCGAAAATGGGCACAACACCGGAATGTTGCCATTAATACGCATTCTGTGTGAGCTGTGCTTCATACATCGCCACTCAACTGAAAAACAGACATTGAACCTTTCTTTGCCTACAAAATTCACCAACATTTCGCTGTGACCAAAACTTAAATGGGCGGTTCATGGCCAGAATGTTGCCATTGACTTCACACTGACATTAACACACAAAGCTGTGCTTTATACATCGCTACACAAATGATAATAGACAGTGGACCTTTCTTTGCCCATGAAATTTAGCTAATGTGACCGAACCTTAAATTGGCTGTTCATGGACAGAATATTGCCAACAACACAAAGTCTGGGACGAGACTACACCTTCCTAACCCCTCTGCACTCTCTACAGGTGGAATGTGCTCGGCCTGCAGGGGGCGCTACTCAGTCATTTTGTGGAGCCGGTGTATCTGTACAGCCTGACGGTGGGCAGCCTGAGACACACAGGTCACTTCTCCAGGATGATGAACCACAGACTGGAGAGAGTCGGAACTCTGCCCACCTGCTACTACCGTAACCAGCCTTTACTTAGCGGTATTTCCTTTAAACCTTTCCTTTATTCATTTCCTAAATGTTTGATAGATTCCGATCTGTAGTATATTTAACAGCAGTGCTTTGTTTGGTCAGTTGACATTACAAAATGTGAAGGTCCCTGCCAACCTGTAGATCCCTGTACAGCAGGGTACTAGTGTAACTGGTCTCACTCCCACCTCTCCGAGTGGGATTGAAACCAACATCAACTAGCATGGGAGGCTAAAGAGGGTGTGACAATAATGGCGGCCAAGTAGTAAAAGCTGTGCTTGTAAACCCCCCTTTCTTGCCCCAAGATGCTCACTAGCGACTTGCCTCCCATGTCGGTTGACTCTGGTTCAAATCCTGCTCGGAGTGGATGCAAGTAGGACCAGTTACACTAGCAAACTCAAGGTTGTGGGTTTGATTCCAAGGAAACACGCATATTAATAAAATGTATGGCTTGAATGCACTGTTAAACCTCAGACCTTGCCAGTGCTTTAGCAGACATGGCCTTATGCGCATGGAGGACACTTTGTCTCGCTCTTACACTTTGTTAAACTGCTCTCCTGAGCCTCAGTGTGGCAGACGGACTGCTCTGTTGGATCTACCCATCCTCCAAATCAATCTCATCCAACACCCTATCACTGCCATTGAAGAGGAGAGCGATCCATTCACTCTTCCTCTCACGCCCAGTGGGCCGCATGCCTCCGGCACGGCCCCTTTGACCACCATTAATGAGCTTCTCTTCCTTTGTCTGGATTCTCTTGTTGGGGAAAATGGGCTGGTTATTTTAGGCATCGCCATCATAAAGGGTGCAGAGTTCCCAAGAAACGGCCGAGATCTCATATCATAAGGGAAGCCAATGAACCCTTCAGTCAGGAAGCTAAAGCGAGACAGTCCTCAGTGGTCAGACCTGCACTAAATGCTTAGATGCTTTAGCACGGCATATGTTATCTTAAATACAGCGTTACATTTAGTGTTTTGGCAGCATTCTTGTGTAAAATACTCTGCATGATGTATAGACACCATCATTGGCGACAGTAAATGAAGACAGCTTGAAGGAAAATAAAAATGACTGGTATTTCCTTCAAACTTTTCCTCTGACTCATTATTTGTATATTATTGACTCATTTAGCTTCACTTATGCACAGGGGACGTCATTAAATTGTGTTTTACTAAATGCAGGTTGCATTTTATTACGCAAACGTTAGATTGAAGCTCCAAATAACAGCATGTTTACAAATAAGTTATGTTTAATAAATGTGTGAATGTGAAGGTGCTTGAAGGTTGAGAAATATCATTCAAATTACATATACACACGGTACATGAGATGAAAACTCTGGACACATTTGTCTTCAAGAAAAAAAGTTTTATTTTACACGATGGAGTTTGCAATCTACTGGTCCAAACAGAATGAGAACGAGTGAAAACTAAAGACTTGCACAAGCTATGCAAAACCCAGCTCCAACAATGCATGAAAATCCTTTCAGATTGAAACTAGGAATGTACTGGATATGTACAAGAAAGAAAGTACTTGGGAAAGTAGACAAACGTCATACATCCAAGCCAGTACGTGTCATTATATAGTCCAGAACTACTCCGATAAATAAAAGCTAGCAAAACATTACTGAGGAACAAAACTTACTGAGCACACCTTTAATTAGCTTAACCAAGTTACATAACTATCTTAAGCAGTAAGACTTTCTTTGTCGACGAGCTTTACTAGTATAATGCTAGTCAGTCTGCTCAGTTGTGCTGGTTCACCTGCTTCTCTAGCACCAAACAAGAACTAACCAGCATAAACCAGACTGAGTTATCAATTGGTCAAATGGTCCAGACTGGAAACTCAAATTCATTTTAGTAATGGTAAAGGTGCCGTGTCTAGATGGTAAACTTTGTACTGCGAAACTCTCGCATGATTCACTCTAGCCTACTCTTTGTTAGCAAAAAATGAGACTGTATGACTTTACTGAGGATGTCCTTTAAATGTAGGTCACATACTTTAGCCCATCACTTTTAGAAGATACCAAGTGGCACTTAAGAGTAGCCGTATGTCAAACCCAGAGATCACATTTAGCAGCATCTTGTTTAAAATACTCTGGATGATGGATAGACGACGACATTGTGACTGACAGTAAATGATAACGCCTGCTCGAGGTAAAATACAAATTAAATGCTCTATTACAGACATACAGGGATAAACTGAATGCAGAGTGTGAAATGACACTGTGAATAAGTGAGCGAGGTTTTCAGAAAGAAGCTGCGTTACGGCATAAAAGGATATGCACATTAATATCGCAGACAATTTATTCCACCTGTTCAGAGAATCTGAGATTTGCAGGATTAAAGGAATAGCTCAACCAAAAATTAAAATGCTATAATTTAACAAATGTGTTTGACTTTCTTTCTACTGTGAAAAACAAAAAGAGGTATATTACACAATGACCGGGTTGCTCTTTTTCAGGATATGAGCTCCAGTAAATAGAAACACCTGCTTCACGTCAGCGTAACTGCATCGTCACTACAGCGGCAGACTCGCCAGAATATTCACACTGGAAGCGCATGTACAGCGTCACAGCAGCAGCTCCAAATCTACATATTTATGTACAAATATAACTATAAATTGCTTTTTAGAAGTTGGTCAGTTTTAAACTTGAAAGTTTTAAAGTCTTGAAAGTGTGTTAACACGGGGAACAAAAACAGCTCGGATCGTCGTTTCAGTCATACTTTGATATAGAATGTGCTTATAACGTGTTTTTTTTCTTTATAATACACCATACTTTCAACAAAACTGAATAATTAAAAACAAGTTTAAAGGGATAGTTTATCCAAAAATTAAAATGTGATGTTTATCTGCTTACCCCTAGGGCATCCAAGATGTAGGTGACTTTGTTTCTTCAGTAGAACACATATGATGATTTTTAACGTTAACCGTTGCAGTCTATCAGTCGTATAATGCATGGCAATGGTAACAAAATCTATGAGAGTAAAAAAAACATGCACAGACAAATCCAAATTAAACCCTGCGGCTCGTGACGACACATTGATGTCCTAAGATACGAAATGATCGGTTTGTGCCAGAAACCGAACAGTATTTATATAATTTTTTACCTCTAATATTTGTATTTATACGTATACATAATTATACGTCACTATGTCCAACTGTCTTTGGGCACACGCACGGCATCCGGTGCGTGAGGTGTGTACGC